GTCTATATACATAGAAACCGATATGAAGAAAACTTCGTACATCTTCTACCAGAAAAGATTTGTTCGTCAGCTTCGCGATAAAGAAAAAATCTGATCTCCCTGATCTCTTCAGCTCCCTGATGAAGGAAAACTCTTCAAATTTATTCCCATATCAATGGAATGGTCTGAACATTTTGTTTCAAATACTTTCAACTTGAAAAACATCTATACAAACGCGTGAGACACAATTAAAACATTCAGCAAAGACCGACTCGATCCGTTACTTTATCTAAATGCTGACCGTTCAAATCATCCACGACAATTAATGACTTATTAATAATTTTGATCGAACCAATAAGTGACTACATAGCTACTCGGTACGAATACCCTCAAAGTTCATATACTTAGAAATGCAATTTTAAGTTTTTCTTTAGTTCATAAGATCTGGTATTGATTATAGAATGGGAAAGAATTGCACAATATCGTCTTGAATTATTTATCAAAGATAACTTTATTTAGTACTGATACAGAAAGAAACATTCGTCAATCGAATAGCAATGAATTTCACATTAGTTTTACAAAGAAAATAGTGAATCACAGAAGAGGTAGCATAATAGTATGGAAATGTTTTCGGTGGCTAAGATGTATGGTATCGTCCTTACATCAAAGTTATAGCATACAGAATAGATTCATGTACAACAACGGATATGTATGTAAACCAACGGTCTCCATGCGGCTTTGAAGGGTTTTTCAGCAGGTTAATAATAGTAAGCACTTTTAACTATTGATCAAATCATGGTGCCAAAAGCATAATGTGGATGTCGTTAAGTGATCAATTTAAATTAAGTGACCAAAACTTATCTAAGCCTATTAGGTACGTCTGGTATGAACTTACATGAGTAATTCCAAAGACAATTTACCAAAATAATGGGCAGTTATGGAAAAATATTGAAAAAGTTTAATGTAATATCTCCGTAAAAACTTGTGGGAAGTTTATGTTTAGACGTCTGGAAACAGGCGTCGAAAATAATGGCGGTTATATGAGGTATTAAATGCGTTCCACTAAATGCAGTGCAATATGGAGCCATAAATAATGAAAGTTTAATATTAATTACTAAGTTTTCACCACATGGCATATTTTTCAGATATTTGATTCCTTTAAAGATTCCTTTAAAAAACATATTTTTTTCATCGATATAAATTTTAAATAAATAATTTTTTAGCAACATATATTTTATTGCTTTAATCATAATCATAAAATCAAATCACTGAATAAAATATATTTAAAAATTAAAAAAAACATTTAAGACAGACAATCTCTCCCCGACGGGGAATTGAACCCCGGTCTCCCGCGTGACAGGCGGGGATACTAACCACTATACTATCGAGGACGTTATATAGTCCGATTACAAACATAGTTTTTACTTACATTATCTATTAGTAATCCGATTTTTAATAGAAGTACTTATAATTAATATAGATTTTAAAAAATTAAAGCAAAACAAAAAAATTACTGTTTTATGAATTTAAAACAAATTTTTAGATTTATTGATATAAAATTTTTAAATTCATCATTAAGAAATTTTAGAGTTATGATAGTCTATACCGTTGCTATTCTTAAGTCTCTCAAAATATCTACAATATACTTTTAATTTAAAATTTTCTTTAGTGCTTTTATTAAACATGTCCTTATTAAATTTTTATTAAAATTCAAAGAAAAAGAAATGGACTTACAATTTACCATATATCTATATTAACACTCTCTTCTTGAAGTTCAAAAAGTGAGTTGTTCCAAACAACTAAAGTTAGGGAATTGTAGAGTAAGACTTTAATACATAAAGTCTGGCATCATAATTCACATCTATATCCTTCTTTAAAACTTATTTTTATTATATCTTTGTTGAGGTATGATCTTTTTGTGCTTGTAAACAAAAAGACTAAGGCAATATATAACAACATCAATGCAAAGATTTGATCTGATTCCAATAAAGAACCGTCTTATTATTTGAAACATGACTGTCCAAACCAAATGCGATAGCGGGCCAATACAAATTACTATACAGATTGAAGGGCCTCAGAAACAAATACATACATTCATAGTTATTATATATACTTTACCATATAAATATAACATTATAAATGCGGTTGTAATGTTAAATTTAGTTTTATTAATTTTTCAATTTAAATTCAGTTATTTGGTATATTATAAAAATAAAATATTATAGTTCTACCAGTACATCAAAAGAAAATTTGCGTTATTGTAGTATATTATAAATATGTCGCGGGCCGCATAAACATTAGCCCCGGGACGCATATGGTCCGCGGACCGTACTTTGGACAGCCCTGATTTAAAACATAATAATTTGTGTCTGTAAACTATAAACTTAGTTCAAATGTAGTCACCTTTTCTTTTATTGTTCTCAAGGGTCCTATCGTCTTTTTTTTTTTTTTGTTTTATTTGTAAAATTAAAAACTAAAGCAAATGTTTTATGTAAACCATTGACGATATTATATTACAGAAGTTAAGTTGTTAATACCGACGGGTAATTTTGGAGGTCTCTAACAGATATCTAAATCAACCTGTACCCTTTTAAATTACTTTACACACAAATTTTTACTTCACTATAATTTTAATTGTAGGCTTCGACAAGGATATACTATATATATACGCTTCATCAATATAATATTGAACAAATTATTTTTCATTGAAAAATTGAAGTAGTCAATATTTTAAAAGCTATTTTGCTGAAACGCTACCACTCATATATAAATTCATTAACTGCAAAAAGTGCAGGTATCCCTCGTATAACACGTTTAATTCGTGCCATTTTCTATCAAAACTGTTTCATAAAAAATCAGATAAAACGTAATTTAAGGCAATATATTATACGTTATATGTTAAATATTATATGTTAAATGTTATACAAAACTTTAAAATTATTAAATCGAATTTTGTACCATGTTATATCAAAACCCATCACTATATACAAAAATTATAGCTAACGTGATTTTTATCTCCATGTTTTCAAGTCTTGTACCGTGTTATATCGAAGCCGCTTAATAATAATCACCATAACTTTATATCGGAACTATTGTAATAGCGGAACTGTATTGTGCAAGTATTGTGTTAAATGAGAAATATCGAGTGCAATTATTGCAATACCACTATACCAACACGTGACCCAATCTCACATACATTTCTCATTGGTAAACTTAGGTATAAACTTTACTTTCTCAGAATTTATTTTCACAAACACAATTAGCTGAAAAAGCATTCCCTGAAAACGCAGTAATTTTAGCTTCGATTTAAAAGAAGGATCGAACACATCTATGTCCAATAATTACAGTGCTTGGTCAAACATATTAGTTGAGTTTTATATATTAGTTGAGTTTTTTCAAGCATACATTTTCTAGAACTTATATATTTTTAAAACCGCGCAGGTAAAACAACAGTACCAAAGCGGTACTAGATCAGAAAAAAAAGCGCTGCTGCCACTAAAATTACCCATAATACCTAGATAGATATTCCGTATACTTTTTATACTGAATATACATAGTGTTTACATGTCTTCTACTATTGCAGAAGAGATAAGACTGTAAATAATGTTTACATAATGTTAAATAGACATGCAAGAAAATGTCTCACTAAAGATGTCTCACTAAATGCAAAAATTTTGGAAAAAGTATATATAAAAAAATATATAATTTAATTGGCTATGAATATATTTGATATATGCGTTTAATAAATAATTTACGTAACTTCCGGAATTAGTTTAAAGATTACGTCTACAATGAAATAAACTTCATAATCCAAATAAGAGAATTCAATTTTCAACTATTCCATCATCATCCGTGACTATATAGTCCATGTAGGATCTAAGCCTATTAAATAGCAATGTTCCATTCTTCTCTGTTGTTTGCTTTTGTTTTCCAATTCTTATGTTCATTTCTTTTAAGTCCTGCTGCACACTGTATTTCTATCGCATTCTTGGTAGCCCTCTTCTTCCGCTGGTTCCTACTTCGTTCTCATAAATTTTAGGCGGTTCTCTTATATCCGGCATTCTTATCACATCTCCAACCCATCTTAATCGCTACTTTTTCATAAATTTGTTGATTGTATCACCTTCTGCTAGCCGCTCTAGCTCGTGGTTGTATTTCAGCTATTCAATATTAGATTTCATTAAAGAGGATCTAATTTGAATGTTAAGATACAAACTCTAACATATGTCTTTAAAGTCGATTTTTACATAAAATATGATTAAATTTACATTGTCCCTGCTACTCTTATTTTTTTTTTTTTATTTATACAGTTCTCACACACTAACAGACTTTTTTTACTACCAAACAAAGGCACTGAAAAGATTTTACTAAAAGGATCCTTTTAACTAACTTTAATAGATTATTTTTGTCGAAGAAATCTGTGTCGATATCAGTTTAGGTTACAATCATTATGAGCAATGTTTACATGATTAATCCACAGAGAATGTAATGAATTAAACAAGTAAATTCAAAAATTAATGATTCGAAGATTTACATATATTATATACATATAGTTATAAATATATATATACATATATATATAGTAAAATGATGTTGCCCATAGCAGATATGAGCATATTTATGTGTAGGACTGTTTTGTTTGGCAAAGTACACAAAACTTCACTCTGGAACAATAACAACGCATGAGACAAAACCAACCCAACGACGTTAAAGCTTATCTACAGCAATCAATCTTTAAATCATATTTTGAAGTACTTCAAAAATTTCAATTTTATTTCTTTGAACAAGATGCGCCCCATTGTCCATCAAAACTATTGGTCCATTAATTTGAATTTCTCGAATATTGAAGACAATCGAGTCAATTTGTTTATGTAACCATAGAAGCATTGGCATAAATAATACACGTTTGAGTTAAGATAATAAATAAATAATTTAAAAAATATTTTAAATAAAATTATTACAAATTAAATTTATAGAAATAGTTTCAATTTTATGTATTTTTTTAACATTTTTTTTTTATTTGTTGATTGTTGGAAGACTATGATTCGTAAGCACCTTGAGTGAGTTAATATCTCTCATACTTTGCTTTGTTAATGCCCATTGTCGCTCCGCCTCCATTACCAAAACCGCTAATTGCACTATTTGTGGCTGTGTTGCTAAGACAACCATTGCCAGTGGTTCCATGAATATTTGTCTGTGAGCTACTGGAATTGCTGCTCGAGGCCAAAGTGTAGACTTCATAGTCAGCAAGCATAAAATTGTAGTCACCGTAGAGGGTCCTAGGAATAAATAAAACTATTATTTGAACTTAAATATATAATTGATATATTGATAAAACTATTTTTATTTTCATAAGCAATATGAAATATTAAATATTTTTTATCTAAAATATATATATCAATATATAAATTAGTTTAATTTATATTTAATTTAACTTTTAATTTAATTTAATATAATTTTAATTAAATTTAATTTATATTTAATTTAATTTTAAATTTAATTTAAATAATTTTTAATATATATTATATATTAATATTATATATATTATAATATATTAATTTATATTTAATTTAATTTAAATTTAGTTTATGTTTAAATATATTATATATATTAATGTTTAATATAATGTATTTATAATATAAATAATTATATATAACCAAATATATTTAAAATATTTAATTTAGTAAACTGTAAAACATTTAGAGGTCTGATTCTTTTCGAATCAGACGATCGTTAAAAAAACGAGTAACTTTATATGTCCATTATTGAGTGTTGCTATTATCGTGAACAGAATTGGTTCCACCTTTAAGACTGGAACCATGGTAAACAGAAAATATAAAAAGAAGCAAATCATATGATATAGATATATTATTAAATTATAAATTAGCTTCAGAGATATGAGCAAATATTCTTTATGTCTATATCTCACAGACTTTCAGAAAACAACCGATCTAAAGTAAATATACAGAAATGTTTTCTATAAGCAATTGACAAAACTAGAATTTATAATAGAAGTACATATGACAATATGCATTATGTATTAGTTCTAAAACTAGCTTTGGTAATACAGTGCTATTTTGTTATTTATCTTTGTTTACAATGGAAGCAGTTACTAATAATAAAACACAAACCTTCTGTAAACAACAGGGATCAAATAGAGTTGGTATAACGTAACACCTTTACTCTCTTCTCTGCATGTGACTTAATATCTGGAAAAACTAGCTACCTACATTACTTTTATTGTAAGAACCATTTTTTATTTAAACTATATTTAAACTATATCACAGAACCGATACGATCAAGTTTCCCTCCACTGCTTGAATTCTTCTAAGCAAAGCTACAGTATTATTAAGATGATCATATACTCAGATGAATACTTTAAACGTCTGCTGTTACGTACTTGTTAATAGTTTGAAATAGATAGTAGAAATAATAGGAATATATCTAGAAAGTGATATATTTTAATGAGTTTTATATTTATACTAAAAAAAAATTTTCCAATGAAATTCTGTATGCTATTAAATTTGACCATTGCTATTTCTACTTTATTATTCAATATAGACAATAATTAGACAAAAAACTTAATGGAATCTAGTAATTTAAAAACTAAATAAAATATTTCTTCTATTTCGGAATCATACCCTTCTACATTAGAATAAATTTAAATATAATATAAACTTTATAGAGCATTGTCCAACGCTTCAAGAAACGAGAAGATTCTATCGAGATCGGATGGGAAATATCTCCACACAAACCTCCACATAAAACGTAATTTTACTATATAGCACAAAGTGACATGCATATGCAAATTTGAAAGTGTTAAGATTTAAAAATAAAGAATGTTATCAGCAAAAATACTGGATGGTTTCGCAGGTCAAAAACCAGCTTTCAGTGCATCACTTGTATAGTATGAGTCAATTTAATTTAGCAAACGCACAGAAAGATAGTTCGATCAATCTAATTCGGACTATAAAGCATCGACATATACAAAAAAGATAAGAATTATAGCAATTAGTAAAAAAAACATTTCACCACAATCCAAATATCCTTAGAATATATTGCTTAAGAAGGTTTTTTTTAATCTCCTTAAGTAAATTCAGTGTACCGAGTGATCTATAAATATTTAACACCAGATCAGATATAATCAAACTTAGTGTCAGACAAAAGTTTTAAAAGGTCATTAGAAATACGCTCTACGCGTAATTTGAATGTTATAGAAACCACACAGCACTGTTTATGATCTGGTCCTATACTCAAAAAGTAAAAATTTTTAAAGTGTATATAACAAAGTATATAGATTTGTGACCAATATGTGTGTACAATAAGAAGAAAGGACAAAGGCAATATTTAACGATAACTGATGAAATACATTGAACTACATTAACAATGCCTACAGTAAATATTCCTTAGCTATAGATTTACTCCTTAAAATGTCGCCCATCTATTTTCATGTCCAAAATACGTTAAGGTGGCGAGATTTCTTAACCTGAACTGATGTTAGATTTTACATCTCTAGTTTTTCTTAATCCTATTTTACACCATATAGACTGCTTGTGTACTACTCCGTTATGCGCTTTCTCGTCAAAATTTTTTGTAGTTACTTTCAGATCGGCTTTTGGCTACAAATATAATGGCCACTATTCACATATTAAAAAATCATTGGATGACTACAAGATTGGAAAAGCAACTACTTTTATAATTCTATAAATTAACCATATATACTAACATATATGAAGCATTGTGACCATCATAGGAGTGTGGCAAGTTGGAATACGAATCCAAGTTTGAATTACAGTTGTTTGCAATTAACAAATCCGCACCAGCACCAAATATTGGACCACAACTGTAATATTGTAAAAAAAGAAATTATAAACTAATTGATCAAATATAATTACTTCTCTTACTCTGGATGATAGCAAATAGCGTACGGTTTTTTAATTATTTCGAATTTAATAGGTGTGTCATCACCAGATGGATTCAAAGCAAACAGAAACGCACGCTCGGAGTGTATGTAGCCGCCTTTGCGATTTGTTTTAGCCCAAGCAACATCTGTAAAGCCGCCACTTATTTCACCACGTGAACCCTGCAAATGCAATTGTTCAAAATCTATGACAAAGGACCATGTAGCAAACAATGCTTACAATTCCAATGACGAAACAAGGTGCAACACCATCACAAAAATGATGAAAAGCACTTGAAGAAAAACCATGTGTGGAAGCACGATAAACAAGTCGCCAGGTTTGTTTGGGTGAGCCATACCTGAAATTTAAAAGAAAAAAGCTATAGTTTTATATGTAGTCAAATGAATTGATTCGTTGTACCAGCCATTGAGTACACCTTGTAGATGCATTTTATCATTTCGTAAAATTTGTGAACCAGGAAACATGTTTACTGTTAGCCGCGGTTGCAAACGTTTGTCATCCTCACTCAAACCGGGAGATAATATATGTACACCACTACTACTAGCCGTGCTACTCGATACCATTTGATTTGCGTGTAATGCAGCGTAACGATACCGCTCTAATGACAATTCCATTGGTACTGCACCAGTAGGTTCCACCTCTTCCGCAAACACTTTCGAGTCGATAAGTAAGAGCCGTACATGTGACATCACACCAGACAAATAATTACAAACACGTACACGCTCTTCTTCAGTCCAGTGTGGTGTTGGCTGTGTGACGCCTGCTTGATTTTTTGCCCAAGCCAGTACGCAGCGCCAAACGTCTTCTTCTTCCAAGCAAAACTATAAAAGTATTTGTATTAGAAAATTTTGTAGTAAACTATGTGTTTAAACTCACGTAATCTGATGAGATTAACTTGATTAAAGCATCCTTTGTCAAATTCAGGAAAGCATTGGTTTTCACACATTCATTGGCATTCTCCCCAATATAAATAATGCAACGTTCCATGAACGAAGCAGCACATTTTGCGCCTAAAATTGTAAGAACTTTTGATTTAAATTTTTGGTAAAGCTTTACTACATAAACCAGCACTGCAATGATTTCACAAAAAAAAAAAAAACAATTTTTAAGTAATTCATTCTTTTTATTGAAGTAAACAAAATATTTACAATATAAACATTTTGTTTTCATTGTATTTAATTTTCACTTTATGCAATATGTTAAATAGACTTTATTTATAATTTAAATATTAATTTATAATTTCTAAATGGAAATAAGTTTATGCTGCCACCCCAGACAATGTCCTCGGCGGCCAAATTTATACTGCAGCCGTTTTAACCTCAATCCTTGGATGGGCTAACATTCTGGATGAGAGTGATATTATCTCCTTTTAACATAATGCGTCCGAGATTCTTTCTAACGCGTGTTTTGACATAGACTTCCTCAGCGTCATCCAGCACCAAATTCATGTACTCATCGAATCCAACGATGTGGCCTTCAATGCGCAGCGTTACATTTTCGTAGAGCCAAACTTGCACACGCGAACGGTTCTGCAGGTAACGGAAAATCAAATTGATGGGTTGAACCATCACCTTTTGTACTTTAGTATTTCCCTTGAACGACATCGTGATCGATTTTAACTTTACATAAATTAATATACTAAATATTTCCAATTAGCGTTCAGACAAAAACTCGCCGGCGTTCACGGAAGACGCGCTGAAATCAAAATGTCAAAATGACTTCTGAAATCAATTTTGACAGCAATGCGTGAAGTTAGCTGCGATTATCGCAAACTATTTAAGTGGCAGGTTTGTGTCAATACTAAATCGTCGCAAATAACTTACTAATAATAATATTTTTAAAACATGTATTTGCGTAATTGTTCCTAATAACAAATGTTTATATTAAATTTTTTTATAAAAAAATGTACAACTATTATTGAGCGCGAAAACGTTTAACTATAAATTATAAAAATTAATATTAAATAAAAATATTGTTAAAGACAGTAGTAAGGTCTAGAGTTGCCATTGCACTTCAATGAAATAAATTTAACGCAAATTAAAGAAAATAATTTTTTCATTTAACCTGAGTTCGTTTTCAAATTTTTTGTGTCAATTAATTATATACAAACACAGTTTTATTAATAGTAAAAATTATATAAATAAAATTTTATTAAAACGTACTAAAAATTTCAAGAAAAACTCTTGTATATGAAATTGAAAGATATGAAATAATCATAACTAAATCTCGGATTCTTATGCCAATTGAATATATAAAATAAAATATGTGGAAATAAAGTAAATAGCTTCCAAAACAAGTTTCTGTCCAGTTTCGGACCTTTTAAAGTATTGAACAAATATAAGTACTTATATAGAAATTGGAGGTCTAATCATAACAAAGGGTTTACTGAGAAGAACTTGAATACCTACAAATCTTAGCTTTAAAAATAAAGATGTCCGGTCATATTGTCGAAATGCCAGGTACTATAAAATAGTATGATTCTTCTTAAATGTGAAATAAAGTCCCCTTAATACAACCATTGTTTTTAGACTGAATTTAGAAACAACTAATTTTTTTGGAAGTTGGAAGTCAAGAAGTCGGCTTTAAAAAATTTTAATTTTGTTTGAATTATCTTAAAATAAATAAAATATTACATGAACCTCTTTTCATATATGGAATGATTGGTCTAGTCTTCACCTCAATGAGGATTAGGTAAGCGAATATTTGTCTTTTTCTTTTTCGATTTTCTTATTTATTAACAGATTTAAAATGGAGCTTTATTGTCTTGACTTTCATTTCTAAGACTAGTTCCGAACTGTGATGAAACACTTAAATACATTGGTGAAGAAATCTATTTTAGAGTAGTTGAATATATTGTATAGCATTTAAATTATTTTTTATTAAAAGAAAAAGAACTCTATTGGGAAAGGCCACCAAGACTATCACAATCTAAAATGCTTTTAGAGGCTTACAGCCTAAAACTTTTTAAGGATTGCATAGAGCAATCAAAAAACAACCTAAGAATTATTACGGGATTATTGACCGGTCACTGTAGATTGAACAATCACCTATCGAAGTTAGGAATTCAATCTAACTCAGACTGCAGATACTGTAGAGCAGAGAGAAAAACTGCATACCATGTGCTTGGATAGTGCCCGGCACTGATGCACAAGCGGAAAAAACACCTAGGAGGATATTTCATTGATCATAAGAATTCAAATTTAGGAAAGATAGGCTTTCATTAAAGAAATCGGACTTGAAGAAATGCTCTAATCCAACTAAAAGACACAATAGGTCTTTTAGGGCGCCAGTGTACTATAAAACACATTTCGAAACGTCAGCAATATTTTTATAGAGGACTATATAAAAAAATAATAAAAAATATTTCACAAGGTTTTATTTTATTCACATAACCCTTTTAGATCTATTTTAGACTCAGACAAAATTTAGAGTATTTATGTAACGTATATCTCGAGGCTTATAGACAAAGTTATCAAGTCTTGAAATAAATTTTATTTAAATCTTATTATTTTTGTTACATATAGCAATAGCATAATACAGGATCTTTTTCTATAAAAATTACACTGACGTTGGACACTCACTGAGACTGATTTTGATTGTTATGTTATACATTCTAAGTCTGATAAGAAAACTATATAGTTATAGTTCTCTATATATTATTAAGTACATGCGATAATAATATTCAATATACTAGGATTTTGAGAGTTTCAACTATAATTTAGACATAGTTCGGTTTTAGAACCGTTGTAATATTTATTAGATGAGTGGATAATATTTAGTGAATTAGATGTTTAAATAGCCAATTTAATAATAATGACCATAATATTTATACAAGCTGTGGAGCCAGTGCTTCATAAAACAACTTTTATCAGACGATATCAGACATCGAAGGATTCTTAACAATTGATAGTATAAAAACAGAAAAAACTTATACAATATTTGGATAAATGTGCAGGAATGTGTCAGGGAGTGTAATACCAAAAAATTTTTTATTAGGAGGTATATATCCACTCTGGATACGCTACTGTATCAGAATATAATTTAAAGAACTTATGTTATGTGAAAAGTTTTACTCTTTTAGTTTAACACAACAATATGATTCTATCAAGAACTTAGAAAACTGGGATGTATATATCTCTGATCCACACAGTTCAAACATACATATAGGAGGTATAAACCATTTAATTACGGAAATATAACAGCTTTAGGCATATGATATAGCAATCCTGTGAAAAATACATAATGCAATATGACCCCTGCTGAACAAAGTTTCTTTCTAAATCTGATAAATTATTGATCAAATAATAGAGAGATATAATGTGATAATATATTTTAAGTACAACCCTATGAGAGAAGTACGACATGTTCAAGAAAATTACAAAAGCATCGATATATGGGCGTGGTAGAGGTTAACTTAGAAAAGTAAAAAGTGAAATTATAATCGACTATAACAAAATTTATGCCTTGGATCAGGATTAGAAAAAATGAAACCTCTACCTTATAGAAGCACTAGTCACGGAGTGCAGTTTTAAAAAAAAAGAAGTTGAGGTGTTATTTAACTTTGTGGTATTTTAAAAACATATTTAATAGATTTTTATTTTGTTTCGCTTAGCGTACAGCAACAAACCTAAAAAACTGAATCATTATCACATATCAAATAATCATCATTATTATCTGAATTAGATAATGATCTGCATGGTATCAGCATGGTAATACCTTGATTAAAGACAATAAAGATACATCTTTGAAGATTTATATGTTTTGTCTTTTTATAACTTTTTATAACTATCTATGCCTGTAACTCTACTATAAAGGCATCAACTGATCCTACTTATTCAACTATTATTTTGCATTATTAATGTAAAATACTTTGCTTTACATTATTGTCTTAAACAAAAGAAAAATAAGACGGAACTTACTTTATAAAATAGAGCGGAAAATATCTAATATCTATTGGTATCATAAGTGATTATCAAATTGTCTTAACCAATATCTGAGCTTTGATCTTACCTGCTTTGTCGTGTATTTCCATAACAGCTGTCAAAAATGTGCAGGCATTATCTACTGAAAGTGTAGAGATCACATGATCCTCGCAAGCTGCTCGCAGTTCCTCTACTCCCATATCCTGTGCTAAGGTCATCATTTCAAAAACCCGAGAATCTTGTAATAAAATCTGAAATTCAATAGTGAATAATAAAATTAAAAGAAGTCGTAAATAGAATTTTTACTCACTTTTGCTGTGTAAATATATAAGATGAATTGTCGAAATACTTCCGGGTTGACATGAGAAGGTAAGCGCACTGGAATAGGAGCTCCGGGTGCGGGAGCAGGAGAAACTGTACAGCCTGGCATACTGATTTCACCACGTTTGCCACTTTTGAAACTTTTACAACTGCAATTTATAATAATATTAATATTTTTTTATTAAAATATAAAAATTAATTATGAATAATGTACATTCCCATATGCTGAAATGTTAGGAATTATCACTGGATACAGCGGCTATATCGATAATATTGTGAAGTTCCAAAAAAACTAAGCACTGAAATCGCATCATGCATCACACGCAACGACTGCAAGTATACTCTAGGCACTATATGAGAGAAATAATATATAACATATCCATTTTATTAGACATTGCCCAAAACTCCAAGAAATCAGAAAGTACTTCTAGTGTTAAGTGAACTACATTCACACGAATGTTACATTTATCTGACTAGTGAAAACTGGCAGTATCTCAAAGTCATTCTTAAAGGGAACTAGTTATTTAGGAATAAAATTATTATGGGCTGTTTTGACTACGGACAGCACTCTCTTCTCATATTATTAACATTTGCCTTTAGTTCATCTTATTTCTATATTATACACTTTTCTTTAATTTATATATATTATAACTTACGCAGAAAGATGACATAAAATATAATTACGTATAATTTTAAGTAATAATTGCATAGAAAAAGGGATAATAGTCAAATGTAATTTTCAAAAGTTTTTTTAGATTTTTATTCAAGTAAATTCTAGGATTGATATAGTTCTGTGCGGAAACCACCAGATGCCCATCATCAGTAGGCTTTCGAAATAACTATTTATTAATTATTGTTTAATTAATTAAAATAATAATTAATTAATTATTCTTTTCTCTTTAAAATAGATTTCTTGGTATTGGACAACAGAGATCGGAGAGATATTAAGTTTACTGCATTCGACCGTTCATGAGCTTTTGAAACGCTTTCATTTATTCTCAAACTTTAACATATGGGTTACACATCTTCTTAGGAAAACAAATCACTTTTCTGTAACGTCAAGAAGATGTTCCATTTTTGAAACGTATCATTAGTCTGGAATAAAAATGGCTCATACTGATGCACCGGCTCATACTGATGAATCACTTCGAAAACCGATATTAATCTAAAGAAATATGATGCTATCTGTTTGGATGAATTTAAAGGAAGCGGTTTTGTTTGAGGCTATATCACAGGACATCGCTCAAATCTGAAGTAAACTAGCATCAGCAAATTGTATCGACAAACTGAACGATTCGCTTAAACAGAATACGTCAGATTGGATCAATAAAAAAGGGGCAGCTTTCTATCCATATAATATGAGTTCATATATGTTTGATAACTTGACAAAATCTTCCACAGCTTGATGGAAAATAATACCACATCCACTATATTCCCAACCACGGTTGCCACTTATGGTACTTTAGTACCAAAATTGGTACTTTTTTTTTTTTCGTTTGGTACTCACTTTCAAAAAATGGTACATTTTTGACGACCCAACTTTATTGTGGATATTTCCAATTAATTTTTTTTATAAATGCAACTTTGCACTATTTTATATTTTGTTCATTTATAACACTATGAAAAACACAGAACGAAAAAACAAAAAGGTCCAAAAAAATTTTGGACCTTTTTTACAGAAATGGTACCTTTTTAAACCAATTTTGGTACAGAAAAAAATTTTCAAGTGGCAACCGTGTTCCCAACACTTTCTAATTATTATTTTTGCCAATATCTACAAAATTTTTCATGTGTAAAAACTTTTGCTTCAAATGATAAGGCCAAAAATATTGGAAGTCGAAATGAAGACAAATTTATAGGCATGTATTAACGATTATATTCATTGACAACATATGAATTATGTTGTTTCATTTATATAATATGTGACTATAGGTATATAAAAAGTGCAACTGAATAACACCATGAGACTCAGTAAAGCACTTTATTCGTAATAATAATAATTTCTGTAATTTATAAAAGCAATTCGTCACCTAAATACATACGTTTTATTAAATGGGTTAATAATACATCAGCATTGCACCATGTTTCCACTGCAGCTAAAATAGCTTTTGTTAATCAAGTCAAGATTTGGTCGTTTCCTTTGGCATAAGTTGATTATTGCATGTGAAAGAGCTTTTAAGTGTCAGAAAGTTGCGTAAAAGTTGCAGGAGCGTTTATTTGTTTACATTTGAATTATTAGTAGATAATATTTAGTTTCGTTCTGTTAGTAGAAATTAACTAATTAAGCATGGAAAACGTAGAAATGGCAAAATATTTTGTATATAATATTTACTTATAAAAAACTAACATTTTCAAAAATTATATAGAATAGTTTGATAAAGCTGCTTCGAGTATTGCCCAATACCCATTATCAGTGATCTTGGAAATAATTATTGTACTTAATTATTCGTAAACAATTTTTTGAGACTGCAAGTCCCAGGAATCGAACTCGTGCGCCCTGCCGAATTTGAAGCTCAGAGTCACCGCTCTTTAACCAACTTGTTTTTTTTAATAATAAATTATTAATTATTTCCTTAGCGGATTAAAAACACTTAATACCAAAATAACATATTTTATAGTGAATATAATGAAGAGGAGAATTAAATGAAGATTACAAGCAAAGTGGTATACCAAATGCCATCAAAAAGTGAAAATATGGATGGGCTCGGTCATACCCTAAGAAAAGATACGCGCAACATAGCTCCTTTAGCCTTAGAATGGAACCGCGTTGGATCAAAAAGAAGAGGACATTCAAAGACAACATGAAGGCAAATAATAAGCACTGAAACATCAAACAGTTTAACGAGGTTAGATACATGGCACGGAATAGAGACAACTGGAAACTTTTTGTAGACAGACTAAGTTCTTAGATATGCAATCAGTTTCTAATTGCATGTGTTTAATAATATAATAACAAGAAACTACCTAATGAACATCCCCGTTCAAGGAAATCCTTTATTTGGTTAACAATTTTTCTAAAGGGAAATTTTTTCTAAAATGTCCCTTTAAGCCATATACCGTGCGACAAGTGCTTGCTTAAGACAGTGTTTACTGTAATACATACAAAATATAAAAAATTTCAATTATAATCTCTAGTCTTACCGAGTCATTAACAGAATTCTATGGGCGTAAATTCTTTCTTCTTCGCGTCCGCAAATAAAAACAATGTCGGCGCTTTCTTGATCTTCGGATAGACGTTGCAGGTCTTCAATAAGTTGTGTTGTAAGCGGAGCTGGGCAAGGCGGTGGCGGCACTCTTGAACTCATTATATTTTTTTTTATTTATTTTTATAAATATAAATATTATTTTTTTATTTTTTTTTATAATTTTATATTTTAATATAGGAAGTTTCTTCTGCATTAAATTCACTGTCAAGTTCAGCTTCAATGTTTTTGTTTTTGTCTTTGTTTGTGTTTTTTCTGTTTTTTGTTTTTGTGATCAATGCACGTGTTATTGTTTTTGTTTTGCTCCGCTCGTTTATGCAAGACTCAAATTTTCACAACCGCAAAGAGCGAGGCATGAGAAAATCTCGATCATCCTCAAACTGGTTTCAAAAAAACCAAGCGACGATGGCAAAACAATAAAGAAACGAAAAGAAAACCAATTAAAAAGCCACAATTAAATCACAAAGAACTCCGTTTTATTATATAAAAATTAATTTCTCTTTACATTGAAACTTATTTCTTTAGTAATATTTCAACATTTTTAATTTATTATTCATAAATTTGACTCGCAAGAAAAGCAATTAAATCACAACACAAACAACAAACAAACTCCACTGCCAAACCTCTGCTGCTTCTTCTCTTGTGAGCTCGTCAATACTGGCGCTGCTTTGGTTTCTTTGACGTGAATTTGTGGTCCGTCTTCAGGTAAGCAAGAACGGCTGAGAAAAGATTTTGTTTATAGCTGAGTTACCAACACTCGAAATTCATTAAACTAAACGATCGATAGTTAAATAAATAAATAAATAGTTTACGATCATTGCTTTCATTTATTATTTAATTATTTTTATTTATTATTTAATTATGAACAAATAAATTTAATTTATTAGATATTTTATTCAGTGATGTAAGTAAAAATAATTTTATAAAAAATTATTTCAAATTAAATTATTTCGAAACATACTTTCAGGCTCCAAAAAACAAATTTCACTTTACAGTGATAGCTGCGAAATTCTTTGATTTTAAAATTTTTAATAATTTATTAAATTCTAAGAAATCATAAAAAATAAGCTTTATTCGGTGAAATTGCGTATTTTTATCCAAATTTTTATTTTATTATTTCATACAACAATAGTCATTAGGACAAAGGTTCCCATAAAATCAAACTTAAAATTGTAAAAGCGGATCTCTCAGTGTAGGTCCTATAACTAAAACTGTGTTACAGATTACATATATTTGTTACAAAAAATACTAACAACTCATAGCTCTGCATTCTACAATAACCATTAAATTATAGTAACAATGTCTGCAGCAGAGAACACACAGGTATATCTAGTTTAATGGAAATCTATTATCTTATATATTACATATACCTATATTACATATATTACATATTACATATATATGCATATATATTACACGTTATTAAGCAATAATCATATAGTGAAAATATTAAGTTTGTTCCTACAAATTTAATAAAAAATTCCAGTCAAAAAATTAGAAAATCGTGATTTCTTTTTGAAAAAACCATTTTACACAGCAGTACGGGAAAGCTTTCAAGCAAAAATCTAGTAATTCCTATATTTTATTTCTATATTTAAAACTCATAGCGCTGTTATGATAATACAGTTAAACTTCCATAACTTGAACTTCTATAACTCGAATAAAAATATTGTCACGTTCCAATAGGAATATGGGACAATGGGAAAGTACACTTTAAATTTTGAATTACTCCCTAATCTAGTGGTTCCATACATTTGCACAAATGACAGCGACTGACATTTGCATCAGAAAGCAACATAAAAAAGAAAAAATTAAAGATTTGGTTTGGAAAAAGGAACTTTCCCTAACACCAAAATGGATTCATACTTAAAACAAAAATTCGAATTATAGAATACACTTTCCTATATTCTTATTAGCACGTGACAATATTTTTATTCGAGTTATAAAGAAAATCAAGTTATAGGAATTCGATTTATGGAAGCAGAATTGCATTTAATTTGCTCTCTAAAACCCTGTTGTATTATTTTTAGTTCGAGTTATAGAAAAGTCGATTTATAGGAGTTTGTGTTATGGAAGTTTGACTGAATATGAAAAAAAATGACAAAAACTATTATTGAAGTATAGAACTATTAACATAAATACAGAGACGTTATTTAATTTATTAAATAATTATTTAATGAATTAAATATTTAAATGAAAGTGACATGAACAAACGATTTTAATTATTTTAATAACCGATTCCTTTATGTAAAAATTAAATTTATACATAATATATATATGTAGCTCTAATTATCCTCACCCTCAATTTTATTTGCAGCTTCACATAATTTTATAATATTTATTTAAACTTTCATAATTGCTTTTTTCTTAATTCACCGCAAAGAACAAATATTTTAATTTTATTACTAACTATAAGGATTTTTTTAAATAGGTTGACCCCACTCAATTTCAGTTTTTATCTTAAAGTCTAAATAAAAGAACGGCAGTTTGGGAAAATGTTTAAAGTTTAGTCGCACTTTCATCTTTTTGCAAAATAAACATTTTATATTAATCTTTAACTACATTTTGAGAACGGCATTTAGGTTTTTTACAGAGTGTGACTGACTTTCATTTTCACCTCTCTGAGTGAGGTAAAGCAATTATATTTTTAGCGATTGAAAGGATATAATTGTTTAGTTTATACATTTTGCAATATCAATGCTATTATTTTTAAGACAATGTCTTCAATATTTAATATAAATTCTTCCTACAAATGCTTAACAACCCGACAAAAGTTTGGTAAAATATAACAAAACAATAATTGATAACCAAATAATTCGACCGTCACTGCTATATGGTTTTGTAGTGTTTAGCAAGGCCTCAAACACTACTGTTCGTCAGCTAGATATTGCACAAAGCCAGGCTCTAAGAAGAGTTTTCATGACACCATGGTACATTACGACAAAAGACGTCCTCAGGAACCTTAAAATTGATCCGTTCAAAAAATACATTGAGGATAGAGTCCTGAAATTATTTACAGAAACTGACAGGCTTACTAGAGCTAGATATTGCACAAAGCTAGGCTCTAAGAAGACTTTTCATGGTACCATGGTACATTACGACAAATAACATCCTCAGGAAGCTTAAGATTGATCCGTTCAAAAAATACATTGAGGATAGAGTCGTGAAATTATTTACAGAAACTGACAGGCTTCAGAATGGTATCAGGCTCCTCGGGGAGGTATGCAAATCTGACATCAGTTATTGTTTACTCTAAAGAAGGGATAAACAATAATCCAGAGTAAAAGTGCTCAACTGCACTGACTCAACTAGCCCCAACATAATAATAAAATTAACATAATATTGTAATCCAGTTTAAATTTTTACATTAATGACTTACAATAAAAGTTATCGTGTAAATCAGATATGATTCACATAATAACTTGGGATATGAGTTTACTTTCCAATCCTTTTGTGTGACGTCAGGTTTTATACGACATTTATTTTATTTTTATATATTATTTAATGGAAGCTTAAGTGATTTAAATAAAAAGAATAAAATATATTATAAAATTTGTATAAATAAATGATTTTATCTGACTGTAGTATATATCGTATAACTTAAGTTCTTTACCAAAAAAAAAAATACTTCCATTATTTATCAGTTTGTAATATTTGTTCAGATTTACATATGCACTAAGGACTGTTCTCAGGGCATATGTACTCTGTACATATTTATAATTACACCAATACCTCCACAAAAACACAACACTTCCTATAGATTTCCTCTATGTACCTATTATAGATGGTGGCCTAGTTCGCTGTCATACTTTTAATGGCAGCTTTTCATCGCCTTTCAGCGCCAGTGTTGTCATCTTTCATTAAATACTACTTGTACTTGCCTCATTTTGAATGCTTTTCTTTTCCCTTTCTTTATCAGCGATAGAAGACTTGCCTCGTATTTGCTTTCACTCTTTTGCCTTTTGTGAGGATTTTTTCACAATTTTTTCATATTTTAATTTTAAACGTTATAAAAGCGATTTTTCATCATTTTTACTTAGTTTTTTCATTATTTTTTTCTACGTGATCTCGGTTGGTTGGAGTAGGTGGTGGTGCTGTATACAATGTCGCAGCACCTCCGTAATGAAGAATGGCAAAGGACATGTCAGCGAGTCAGTTAAAGTAGGAAAAGGCAAATGAGTCTGCAAAACGATAACAATAAATGGGTTAAAAGCTTAACATTTAGGGGGGAAAATAAACACAGATTTTAATTACATTTTAGAAAACGCATTTTAATAATAAAATCACACAGAATCACAAAGTTATTTAAAAATAAACCTAAACGCATTTAAAACGCGTCAACGAATCGATAACCGCTTAACAGGACCTCATCGTGTAATGCGGAAAATTATTTTCTCCTAATGATCATTTGCTATGTCATTAACAGCTGCATAAAATCACATTTTCAAATTGTTGACAAAACCAATCACAATATTTTTCCAAACACCTGAAATGTTGCACTTCTCTTTACCCAAGACATCACAATTTTCATCCCATCCCATCCCATCCCATCCCATCCCACCTCATCGCCTCCACACAGGACTCGTGCACAAATAAAAATTTGCGCTCTTCCTGGCTCTTCCTGGCTTTACATTCCAAGCGAATCGTTTTGACATAGCTGAGTGGCACTGCATTCTGTTGGCAAATTTCTGTGGTTGCTGTGTATTTGTGTAATATCCGGCGGAAGTGCACTTAACCAACAACAAAATATCTTCAAAGTTAACAAAGTGTTGTCATAATCAGCGGCTGTACGCAGTACGAAATTTTGGCAATTACCTCCTGACAGACGCTGTTTTCACCTCTTGTGGTAAGCGCTTAAGTTTCTAACTTAGTGCTATGATAAAACGGTTTCCTATAAGACAAGTTTTTAAACTTAAATTGGCTAAAATGGGATTTTATGAAATGGACTAGAGAAAAAAAAATAATTCAAAAAAATCTTAAACTATAAATGATTAAATTTGGCTAAACGCCAATAGTTGAAATAATAATATTTGTCAGGGGTTTCTTTACTTTATTATGCCCTTTACATTAGAAATGAAGAGAAAATAAAATCGGTTACTATATAAACTATTTGCAGTAAAGAAGAATTTTAAATGGAAATAAAATACATACATATATAAATAAAAGAAATGAGTCAATTTTTGATAAAAAAAATATATTTCAGCTATATGATTACCATCGGAGCCATGCTTGAGAAATCACATCCTTGAGGACCAATTTTCAACAATGCAGAGTGAAATGTCTGAGAAAATACATTTATGAGGTCCAATTTTCATCAATTCAAAGGGGAATGTCTGAGAAATCACAATTTTAAGGTCGAATCGCACAAGTTGTGCATTTCATACTGAATTCCAAGAAAAAACTTGATGATAGATAGTTATAATAGACCAAAGGCTTTAAGTACTCCCACTTAAAGCACTCCTTCGATGTCAGGTCACAAGATCTAGGAATCTATTTCTAAAGATTATATAAGTATCAAATTCTTGTTTTAATATGGCTATCGTTGCCCTAGATATATAACATATGACCAGTGTCATAACCAGAACTGTGCCAAAGGGGCAGATATACAAGTAAATAAAATATTTTATACCATTCTGTTGAAACCAAAGACCTTTCAGAGTATGTCCTTA